GCAAGGGTGGAAACTGGACTTTTATAGTAAGTTAACTCACTTGCCTCGGGAAGATGGACCACCCAGTCCCGTCAGTCGCCTTTAACAGACAGACAGACAGACAGACAGACAGACAGATTTATTTGTATAAGGCCATTTGACCCATTGTACAAAATACATTTACATTTTATTTATCTAAGAGTTACCTCTTAACATCAGGCATTGTTTGCTTTAGACCAATTCTTACCAGGATCTTCACGGGTTGATATATAACAAAACATTTCGGATAGACAGTGTTTGTGAGGCTGTGCTGAACAACTTGACGAAGCGTGCTGCTTTTCACTTGTTCATCAAGTTATCTTTGGGGGCACGGGTGGCCCAGTAGTCTAAGGCGCCGCGATTCCCTGTGCAGAGTTGCGTCCCTTGGGCACGCCAGAAACCTATGATTATGGGTTCGAATCCCGTGTCGCCCCGATTATGTTTCTAGGTTTGTCAGCACCATACCCGTGCTCGTGGGTTTCACCGAAGTGGTAAACGTCTGAGACCTGCATCACTTCGGGCTTCCTCCCACATTAAGCTGACACGCCGTGATATAACTGGAATACTGTTAAAAGCGGCGTTAAACCCAACTCACTCACTCACTCAAGTTATCTTTAATCAATAACCTCTAACCTTCCTGTCCCTGTTATACCGGTAAATTGCCACCTTGGCAGATAAATTAGTTTATCTGGGTAATAATGTCAACAAGGTGTCTTGAATAACCACGTTTCCAAATACGCTGAATCATCGTTATTTGTCAAGTCGAGGAAGTGAAGAGTATTTTAAGGTCAGTGAAACTCGTATAAACGTCTTGTTTTTATTTGTTTTTACAAAACAAACAAGTATCACAGTGCTACGTTTAGTTAGTATAGTTATCATATACCTAAAAAAATATATGAGGCATTTTGCATTTTGCGATAGAGCCGGCATATAGAGACAGTAATTTATCGTCCAAAACTGGCTCCCACAGGAGATATGGCTTGGGTGAGATCAAGCGATAACTACATTGTAGATATCGCTGCAATGAATTTCCATAACAATCCTTTGCAGACCATTGTGATGTCATTGGTAACCATATTTTCTATATCACATGGGTGTAATAACAAGACCCGTATCCAAACCCTGGCGGGCTGATATGGCTTGTCAATGCATGGGCGATCGATATCAGCCGGCGTGGTAAGCAATTGGAGTTACGTCCCTTAGTGCGCCGTCTGCTCGGCTTGCTTTACGTCACAATGTCTTCCAAACGAAGTGAAAATGTGTAGCATTCACTTGCAAATAGAATTATGGAACAAGATGGTATATATTTGACAAATTTAAAAAGGAAACGGACACGGAGGGTTTTGACAACAAAAGGACACGCTACGTAAAAGCGACAGCGACATGAAACTTTTCAAAAACTATTTGGTCTCAGTCGGCGAAAGGCGCGACCCGGCACTATTCGGACAAACACGGAATTTATGTATGTTTATGAATAGATTTATTTTACAATTTGGTGTTATGGTATATGATAATAAAGTCATTATATGGTAGTTTTGACTACCCAAAACCAACTCTCGGCCCTAATATCAGTCCTCTAGCCGGTCCACGGGTCGATATGCGTCTCTGGTTGATAAGGGGCATGACATGAAAACTGTCAGAGATGGTCTTTAACGATTGGTTGAAAAAGATCACGTGACAAAGGCCTGGATGGGGTCGTCGCCATGTTGTAACAAAAAAAGAACTAAAGAGACACGAAATAATAGTTGGTTGAATAGAACCAACCCTCGTCCTTATTGAACGTCAAATCGAAGCCACGTGCACGCATTGATCTCCAACTTCCGTAAGTAAAAATAAGTTGGGGCAAGTGAGATGAGAATGGGTTTAGATAATTTGGCGCCATTTTGAGGACACAAACTAAAACAATAAACTTTATGTTTTATTTGTGCTGTTTTATTTTGTTTGAAACCCCAGAAATATTTTTATCAGCAAAGTAAGCGTATGATATTTATGTCTAATTATTATTGCACAAAATCAACCGTAAAACAATCGACTCATATCTAATTATAGTGAGTGAGTGAGTGAGTGAGTGAGTATGGTTTTACGCCGCTTTTAGCAATATTCCAGGCGGGGAACACAAAAAATGTGCTTCACACATTGTACCTATGTTGGGAATCGAACCCGGGTCTTCGGCGTGACGAGCGAACGCTTTAACCACTGGGCTACCCGACCGCCCCAATTATAGTGAGAACCATGCATTGCGTATATCGACACAAGTCATTGTTTTATACAATCTTTACTAGTACATATTCCTCGTTGATTTACAGCCTAATTATGTTTTACCTTTCTCCCCGTGCAAACAGAGTTGCGTCCCTTGGACACGCCAGAAACCTATGATTATGGGTTCGAATCCCGGTTCGCCCCGATTATGATTCTAGGTTTGTCAGCACCATACCCGTGCTCGTGGGTTTCACCAAAGTGGTAAACGTCCGAGACCTTCATCACTTCGGCCTTTCCTCCCACATTAACCTGACACGCCGTGATATAACTGGAATACTGTTAAAAGCGGCGTTAAACCCAACTCACTCACTTCCCGTTGAAAACTCGTATAGCGACGTAAGAGTCCTGCAACTTTTGTTTTCCCACATGAGACCTGAGCCAAGGTAGATGGCATGAAGCGTTCATAAAATGGCGGATAGGAAATATATTGCATTGGAGAAAATCGATGTTGTGAGGGACTGCGTTTTTACGCCACGCCAAAGACTTTATTGAAATGAATGTTATTTATCGCCGCAGTCAGTGATGTACCATTTTTTCACGCCTTTTCACTTTTAAGTAATATGGATGGCTGCGTCCCTAAATTGATGGCTTAACACAAACGAAGGTTTTATGTTGAATTTCCGAAGGGAAAATATTCTTTTCTTCCTATTTCTAACACAATCTATTTCCTTGCAAAAACTCCTTTATTCCCATTTGAATCTGAAGATCGTGATATTGCATCCATGTGTTACACAAACACTCAAATATTTGGAATATTACTGGCTGTGGCGTGAAACAATATTCACTCCTTCTCTCACTCACTCAGCATTTGAGGAGTGTCACCTACGTGATATTTAATACTTTCACAGATAAAATAATTCCCGTTGATATTTCCCATATTCAGATGCAGAGTGTTATATATCTAAACCGTGACATTTGTTTTAAACCTTGGAGCACGGTATGGGCGCAGTTTTAACAAAACGAGCGTGGCAACCTTTGTTGCTGATTATTTATCAGTGCGCGCTTGTACAAACAAGGGTCAAATCAAATGCAAGTCTATGTTTAGGATAAAACCCGTCCGAGGATTTTTATAATGTTTAAAACCCGCGTCCGCGGGAAAAGGGTTTTAAACATCATAAAACCCGAGGGGAAGTGTTTTTTCTACCTTATAAACAGGAAAAAAACCCATTTATCAACATGTTTATGTTTCAAACACGCTTTCCATGAACCTTAGGACACGGGCATAAAATATATCTGGTATCTGGTATATCTTGAAAAGTAATTCTTAAAGCATTGCGGTTATCAGCGTCTCTGAAACATTAATATGTTACAATCTAAACGTAGTTTGTATTTATTAAATGCATCCATGTTTATGTGATTTAACCCACTGGAGAACAATAGGATGACGTCACTGGAGGTTTTAAATTTAAAGTATGGGAGCGCTAAGGTCTCGCTTTGCCAGTGGACCAAAATAGCCTGATCACCATAACACACGTGTACGTCTTAATTTTGCAAACTTTTGCAAGTTATGGAATATCTGCTCAAATTCTTTCGATCCATATATTTTATTCTCAGAAACAGAAATAGAAAAAATAAACTGCGTTTCACTTTAGGAACAAAGAAATGCATTTGTTGCATTTGAAGTGAAAAAAGACTAAATTATATTTTTAAAACATTATTTAAACTAGAGCTTTGCTGTAAGAATTAGAATTAGAAAATATTTATGAAATATATTATTTCTTCATTATTTTCTTTCACGTAAATGCGTTTGGTAAAACTAATTTCAAATGAAGTGAAATATATTCATAACAAAATATTGTTTTATATCTAGTGTTTCTATTCCCAACATCATCATCATCGACCAGTGAAGATCCGGGGTAGAATAGGTCTTCAGCAACCCATGCTTGCCGTAAAAGGTGACTATGCTTGTCGAAAGAGGCGTGCATGTCATCGTATCCCAATAGCGTGGATCAATGCTCATGATGTCAGTCACTGGATTTTCTTATCCAGACTCGATTATTTACAGACCGCCGTCATATAGCTGGAATATTGCAGAGTGCGGCGTTAAACAACAAACAAACAACACCATCATCATCGCCACCATTATTCCAGCGATATCACAAACATCTGTGAAGATTCAAATCTGGGTCCCGCAAACGAGTGGTTGACAGCATGAGCAGCGACCATGCCGCCGAGGTACGATGACACACAAACACAGACAGATCCCTCGTTACAACCGACCCGTCCTCCTTCCGGCAGCATATTCCGCATCACGAGAAGCCAAGGACTCTGCTCCGGAATCTACTTGAAGTGTAGTTTCAGTTGAATCTGTGTCAGTTCAGGCTAGTTCAAACACATGTCTTGTTTCTCTTGACCCAACCAGCCCCATTATTGCCAAAGATATTTCTAAGTTCATGTTAAAAGAAATATTTTTTTCGCAGCGGGTTTCACGCCGTGCTGTTAATATTGGGTCAGAATCGCAGGGCAACCTAGCTCGCCTGGTCACATGACCTCCGACCTGTCCCGTCATACTTCAAGCCCCACAGTCTGTCATTAAAGGCGATGTTGTATAATAGAATAAACGTCACTAGATTTGTGATCTAAAGAATTACCTCCCAGCCCAGTAGGTTTTGAAAGAAGTTATGAGAAACAAACTTTGTTTCAAATGGCCTTGTAAGTATTGGGCCTGTGGTTGCTACGCAAGTTTTGTTAAAATTGCGCCTATACCCGTCACGTGCCCAGGTGCAGCCTTAACCGTAGAGTCGCATGGTGCGAGGAGACTGGTGACGTTTCAGGTCATGTCGACAGGGATAGAGACAGGAGTTATGGCGATGACCAAGTCTACTGTATCAGGTGGTCAGCTGTCCTCTGTGACGACGAGGAGTGCGGATTCAGGTCAGTTGTGGATATCTGTTCGAGGGTTTCCGCCCAGCTCGCTCGTCAGTGGGGCCTCTGGCACGTAGCACATCGCCGTCTCGATATCTGCACTGGCAGTATGTCACACTGACATTTATAGGGTCAGCACCGTTATAAGCTCGGGGGTTAGGGCAACGGGGTGGTAGGGGCCCAGGGGTCGAGGGAAATCAGTATTGATAGGTGTGGTGGGAAATTGGTGCTCAGTTATGAGGGTGAAGGTGTGTGTGTGTGTTGGGGGGGGGGGGGGGGGGATACATTAACAGGGACAGGGTCTGAGGGTGAGGGTAAGGGGAATATATCTATCAGGGGTGCAGGAAGACAGGATGTCGGAGATGAAGGAAGATTGGTGACCGAGAGGAATATACATTATCAGGGGTGGGGTGGGGTGGGTGGATTGGGGGGCAGGATGTCGGGGACGAGGGAAGATAGGTGACCGACGGGAGTATACATTATCAGGGGTGGGGAAGGCAGGATGTCGAGAACGAGGGAAGATAGGTGACAGAGAGGAGTATACATTATCGGGGAGGGGGGGGGGGGGGGGGCGGATGTCGAGAACGAGGGAAGATAGGTGACAGAGAGGAGTATACATTATCGGGGAGGGGGGGGGGGGGGGGGCGGATGTCGAGAACGAGGGAAGATAGGTGACAGAGAGGAGTATACATTATCGGGGAGGGGGGGGGGGGGGGGGGGGGGCGGATGTCGAGAACGAGGGAAGATAGGTGACAGAGAGGAGTATACATTATCGGGGAGGGGGGGGGGGGGCGGATGTCGAGAACGAGGGAAGATAGGTGACAGAGAGGAGTATACATTATCGGGGGGGGGGGGGGGGGCGGATGTCGAGAACGAGGGAAGATAGGTGACAGAGAGGAGTATACATTATCGGGGAGGGGGGGGGGGGGGGGCGGATGTCGAGAACGAGGGAAGATAGGTGACAGAGAGGAGTATACATTATCGGGGAGGGGGGGGGGGGGGGGGGGGCGGATGTCGAGAACGAGGGAAGATAGGTGACAGAGAGGAGTATACATTATCGGGGAGGGGGGGGGGGGGGGGGGGGCGGATGTCGAGAACGAGGGAAGATAGGTGACAGAGAGGAGTATACATTATCGGGGGGGGGGGGGGGGGGCGGATGTCGAGAACGAGGGAAGATAGGTGACAGAGAGGAGTATACATTATCGGGGAGGGGGGGGGGGGGGGGCGGATGTCGAGAACGAGGGAAGATAGGTGACAGAGAGGAGTATACATTATCGGGGAGGGGGGGGGGGGGCGGATGTCGAGAACGAGGGAAGATAGGTGACAGAGAGGAGTATACATTATCGGGGAGGGGGGGGGGGGGGGGGCGGATGTCGAGAACGAGGGAAGATAGGTGACAGAGAGGAGTATACATTATCGGGGAGGGGGGGGGGGGGGCGGATGTCGAGAACGAGGGAAGATAGGTGACAGAGAGGAGTATACATTATCGGGGAGGGGGGGGGGGGGGGGGCGGATGTCGAGAACGAGGGAAGATAGGTGACAGAGAGGAGTATACATTATCGGGGAGGGGGGGGGGGGGGGGGGCGGATGTCGAGAACGAGGGAAGATAGGTGACCGAGAGGAGTATACATTATCAGGGGTGGGGGAGGCAGGTTGTCGGGGATGAAGGAAGATAGGTGTCTGGGGGGAATATACTCTTCAAAAAAAGAATCGCATATATTATCGGGGGGAAGGAAGGCAGGTTACCGGGGACGAGGAAAGATAAATGTCTGAGGCTGAGGGGAGTAAGGTTGTCGGGTCGAGAGGAGTAAGGTTGTCGGATCGAGGGGAGTAAGGTTGTAGGGTCGAGGGGAGTAAGGTTGTTGGGTCGAGGGGAGTAAATTGTGAGGAACGAGGGGAGTAAAGTTGTTGGTGACTAAGGTTGTCAGAGACGAGGGGAGTAATGTTGCCGGGGACAAGGGGGACATTTGTCAGGGAGGCACGTTGTTTGTTGAAGGGATTAAGGTTGTTGGGAAAGAGGTGAGTTAAGTTGTGCGGGACTAGGGGAGACAGGTTGTCAGGAACCAGGGGAAATGTTGTCTGGGGGTAAGGTTGTCGGGGACATACGAGAATGTTATATCCAATATATGGTCATCGGATATCCAATTCAGCTCATATTCAGACATCCATATATACTAAAATCTTCACACACTGTGAGTGAAATCATATATCCTTTGATTAGTTTTCTTATATCCGGACAAATGCACCCATAAAGCTATAGAATATGAGAATAACTAACGAGCTACGGGGAAATACAGTTTATCTTTCCCAAGTGAATTAACGTCAAAGATTTCTGACATTAATTCCCGAGAGAAGGATAAACCGTAATGCCAAGATTCGAGTTGGTTTCTCTTTCTTACTCATAATCAAATTTACTACAAATACCATCCCATCCCTAACCACCTTTGAAATCTCTGGAGGCTGTAACCCAAAACAAATGTATCCCTATGCGACAGTAAACAATCGACCTTTTCTCGGCACATCGGATTGTGTAAAATATCTAGCTATAAACATTCAAATTTAAACACACCATGCAAAACATAAGAAACACGTTGTTGCATTTAATTCATCAACTTTAACAAATGCGAGTTGACAATTTATAATTCAACACTGGCGAGTGGGAGAATTTCAGTTGAAGTTGGTCACACGTTTTTACGTAACGTTGAAGCGGATCTGTAAGCCAAAACGAACAGGATTTGGTGCATTCGTCACCACTCGCCCCTTTCCGTAACCTGCAAGAAGACTCGTCCCCCTATCGATGAATGATATGTGCGAAAATACCACAAACCAATCAGAATGCGGGTATGATTTCAAGTTCTTCGTCAAAGAATTCCTCAGAAATGTTTTTTGATTTTACATGTGTCTTGCATCTAAAAATAAACAGTTAAATGTGTTCAATCATACTGTATAATTTCGCATGTCCCGACGTGCTTTAAACTGCATCTGAAATATGTATAATATATGGGGAAATATCCATGAACCATTATGCAACGGGTAGGTAGCCATTAGGTATGCCCGTTTGCGCTAAGACGGAACACGGTCGCAAAAATTGACATGAGATGGGCACGAGTCGCTTTTCGGCTTGTCCCGGAATAACACGAGTTGGTCACGAATGGATTTGGTGGTCAGCCTCGCTGACTTGGTTGATGTATGTCACCGTATCCCAGTTGCGTAAATCGATGCTCATGATTTGGTTATTTACAGACTGTCGTCATTTAGCTGACAGCAAATGCGCGGAGTGCGGCGTTAAACAACAAACAAACAAACTCCATATTAGACCCAAGGAGGAAGGCGATGAGTGTTGCATTCATTTTCTTAAATTATTCATTGAATATTGAAACATGTTGGGTCAGATCGATACCCACTGATATACTAACAACATTTCACATTCCAGCCGACAACATGCAGGTGCACGCCCCGGTTTGCCTGTCTGATGGCAAAAACTTTTACAACATCCAGGACTCGACTATCACGGTGCAGGAAAAGATCAGTGGTAATTTCAGAACTCTCTCATGCTTCACGCATCTCCTTGCATTCATGACAGTGGTGCTTGTGCATACGGCAATAATCCATGATCATATGTTTCAAAGGTGTCAGACCCGTAAAGATCCGGCCAAGAATAGGTCTTGAGCAACCCCTGCTTGTCGAAAGATGCGACTAACGGGATCGGGTGGTCAGGCTCGCTGACTTGGTTGATGCATGTTATCATATCCCAATTGTGTGGATCGATCCTTATGGTGTCAATCACTGGATTGTCTGGTCCAGACTCGGGTTTATACAGACTACTGTCATAAAGCTGGAATATTGCTGATTGCGGCGTTAAACAACAAACCAAAATGAAAGGTGTAACCTCATGTCGAGAACCATACGCAAATCCGGTCATTGGATGCATTTCCTTAATAGCGTTTGTTTCAAGGATGTAAAATCAGGTTTTTGGTCCTGTGTCTGTCAGTCTGCCTTATCAAAACATCAACCATCAGAAATTGTAACGTGATAGTCAAAACCTACATTATTTATGATCGAGAAACATAGCTTTAAAAGGTACAATACACGTGCTTCATCACATGTTCAGGGTCACAGGTAGCTCACAATTCGCTATCAAGAGTTGCGTCCCTTAACCATGCCAGGATGTTCATTATGATTGGTTTGCCAGCACAGCAAAAGCCGCTACTCATTTCACCCGACAGAACGCTGACAAGCCCTGTTATTACTGTAATACTTTTGAGAGCCTCGTTAAACCCATTTCAGTCACTCACTCACATTAAAGTTACAAGATGCAATGGTGCAATGCTACATTGGATTATTTGTACATGTTTCAGTTACGCCAAACTATCCACTGCAGAACATCATAGGTAAGTATGTTAAGTATATTTCACTACATCATTTATTGGAGATTTTACGGTCTACCCCGAGAGAGACACACAGAGAGAGAGAGAGGGAGAGAATGGTAATATTGAACGCGTCGTTAGACCCTGTTTCACCTAATTTTTATGTCATTTGACCAGATATAAAAACAGCAACATAGACTACTTCAGAATATAGCCGAACAATGGATTTGTGCTTTTCAATTCGATTATGACAGACAGACATGTTTATTCAGTAAAAGGCCAATGGCCTAAAATACAGACATGTGAACATGACATTTACAGGGCACAGAATTTATCATTAATTATTTTGTGAGCATAATATAAGAATTTACAAACTAGAAATAATGTTTGCTCATTATAATTACTAAGAATATTTATTACATGAGAATTACTGTAATGAGTAGGCATAGGAAGATTAACAAGTTATTTTCTCTTAGGGCAGAATATAAATTATAATTAAAGAGTACATGAAATTCATCCTCAATGACATTAACTCCCTTACTACTACAATAGTTACAGAATCTGAGTGAACGGTCTGTTTTACTATATCTGCCAGTTTCTAAAGCTATTTTAAGATTTGAACATCTGAATTTAGTAAAAACAATTCTTAAATGGGTAGGGAGTGGACATGACAAGTACCTTTCAACATTTAACATGGATTTCAAATGTTTATAAAGATCACATTTTGGAGAAGAGTTTACAGAAGCACTCCAGATAAATTCGATTATGTGAATAGTACAGTTGTGTTTGCGTTACAGTGTAAACATTTAAGATGTTCCCTGCTTTGAGTGCGGGACAGATGATGAATTAACAGTTGTCTGTGGGTCCCAAAAGTGAGCAGGCTTACTACTAAGTTAACAGGACAAATTCATAAACAGGGCGAATCTTGGATCCGAACCCAGACTCAGCTCAAACTGGCATGACTGAGTAGATGCAGCGCCTAAAACTGTTAGACCCTTATGCCCTCTCAAATAAACACAGAGAGCTGCACAACTTCTCATCAGCATACGTGTCGTAGGTTCTGCATGAGCTGAGACACGAAAGATCATAATCCAGGCGAAAGTGGGATTCAAACGAACGAAAAGCAGATCCATGTGAGGCAGCGTGATGCCACTCTGAACCCTGTACCACAAGTCCATCACTACCAACTCACCTGCTGAATGAGATAGTCACTCCAAAACTGACGTACTTCTCTTCAGGCTTAAGGCTTTGATCACCTTTAAATATATTTTCAGATTCTACAGAAATGCTGATAAGACGAGAGGATTCTGACAAACACATATCAACCTATGCAGAAAGGTCAGCTTTGAGGCATTTGAAAAACACTGGATGTGTATTCATCAAAGGAAGAAGCGGTACAGGGAAGTCTAGGGTTGCCCTCAGTCTTTTGTCACAGATTGAAAAAGAGACAGAAAGAAAACCTTTGCTATTATCTTTTCCCCAACAGTGGAAAGACATTCCGGTGGGGAAGTCCAAAGAGAAATATGTTGTGCTAATTGACGATATATTTGGCTCCTCCAATCTGTTTCAATCCCAGGTAGATGATTGGAGTAAGGTGCTGAAAATCATGAATGCCATAGTAGAGAGCGGCAACATCTTCCTTGTCTTAACCTCGAGGCCAGAGATCAGTGCCCAGTGTGAGAAGAAGATGAAGACACACGAACTATTCAAACGAATCAAATGCGTCACTCTGGATGACGGCGAATTCTCACTCAGGGTTTTTGAGAAACAGAAACTCCTGGAGAAATACTTTGGGATGAAGATCAGGCTATCTAAAAAAGAGATGACAGAAATTGCAGAAATGAAAACATCTCTTGGTTTTCCCCAATGCTGTACATTCTTTGCATCTAACAAACTGCCTGCATCAAAGGCAGTCAGCTTCTTCCGCAACCCTCAAGTCTGTCTGAAAGAAAGTCTTGACGTTTTGAAGGAATGTGAGCCATTGAGTTACTTTGTGTTATTACTTGTGATGAGTCAAAAAGGGTTTCTAGAGCACAAACTCTTGAAATCGAGGAAAGACAGAAACTTCAGTGACCTTGTAGCAGAGTTGTCTACGTTCTGTGATATTCCCGCTCCTCCGGGGTTTGGCCAAATAGCAAGTAAAGCTGTTACTCTGTCTGGCGTCTATCTCCTTAACACAAAGATTGGTTATGAATTCCAGCACCAGTCGATATATGATGCAGTTTTTCTTGACCTGGCTGATGAGGATCCAGAAATGTGCATCAAAATTTGCCCTGCACAGATGCTCGTTGAGCTGGTGAGGACCCAAAGTGCTGAGACTGAAGAAGATGGTGTTGTGACTCGCTTGTCAGAAGAACACTACGAGATCCTTGCTGACAGAATTACAAACATCCTTCTGTCGGAAGATGGTAGCGAGATCCTAAATCACTCTTCATTACACGACGAAGAATTTCTACCATATCTGGAGACAAAACTGGAACAAGATGTTTGCGAAGCCATAGTTAAAAGAAAAACAACTTCCTCAAGCGTCACATACTACCCTGACATAACTAATATGCTTGAAGTTCATATTGTGTTTACTTATACATTTCTCCTTTCACATATGTTGATGCAGCAAAGCACACTGGCCAAGTGCATTCTGTTGAAAACTGCAAATATCCCAGACACTGTTCTAAAAGAGGTAATGAGTTGTGCCAACTACCAATGTCAAAACGATATCATTGACATACTGCTGGACAGAGGGGTTGTTCCTGATGAGACAAATGTAAGGGCACTTTCAGCCTCGCAGAGCGTTGATGGACCAACATCGACAAGATTGCTTGATTTGATATCAGCAGCATCAGAGGCTTTCCAAGATAGAAAAGATATGCTTTGCTTGGCATCTCTCAATGGCAATGTGGACTTGGTCAAGAGAATCATAGACACAGCTGGGGATGGAAGCCCCGACCTATGCTACCGATGTCTCAGGACTTTGTTCAGTGAAATGAGAAGCAACAAGGAATATCACAATCTTGAATGGACGGAGAAGAGACGTCAAGGACATGAGGAAATATTCCAGCTGCTGTTATCTCACATCCCAGAAATGCAGAAAGTGTCTCAATTAGTGTCTTATTGTGCAGGACATATATCACCAGTAGCTCTGAAGATAGCACTTGACAAATGCACATTGGGTGATGTGAATATCAATGACTGGACGGATTGTCTACATACAGCATGTTACAGAGGCGGTGGAGAGTGTGTCCGTGTCATCCTTGAACATATTACCATAACAGAAGGAATCTATGACAATATCGCAGACTGTATATGTTCATCTGCAGCATCAAACATAGACAGTTGTTTGAAGACTCAGCTACTATTGAATTTCCTTGATGACTTTTCGGAGAGCATAGGGAGTGTTTCATCACAGAGTCAAACACTCAATAAACAATTTGGATTTAGATATACCCCACTGGGTAGCGCATCAGAACACGGCAACATCGACACTGTGAAGATGTTAATTAAGAAGGGTGCTGATGTCAACAAAGAAGATGGTCAGGGATTTACTCCTCTTCACAGAGCTGTTGGGAGAGATGGTACTCTAGGTTGTGTAACAGCTCTTCTTGAAGCTGGAGCCCTTGTAAACAAACGTACACCAGATTCCAGACCACCGTTATTAGATGCTAGCCGGCTAGATATAGTTCAGAAGCTGGTAGCTGCTAAATGTGACATACATGCAACAGATGCAGATGGCAGGTCAGCTGTGCACACAGCGGCCCTATTCAACAACTTAGATGTTCTTAAATGTTTATGCAACAAAGGATGCAATGTTGATCAGTCAGATGAGAGTGGAGTCACAGCATTTCACGTTGCAGCAGAACATGGGGACGCGGACATTCTACAATATCTGCATAAAATAAATGCAAAAGCAACAGTTGACTTGGATGGATGGTCAGTGCTTCACTACGCATGCTGTTCTGAAAATGGAATGGAAAAGGTGCAGTTTTTAGTTGACACAATGAAGGTCCCTATTGATACAAAAGACAGTGATGGTAGAACAGCATTGTATCCAGCAGTACAGAGAGGTGATGTGGAAGTGGTGGAGTTCCTTGTAGAAAGGGGGCTGAGTTTAAGGGACAGGGACAATGATGGGAACACGTATCTTCATGCAGTATTCCGAAGGTACAACGACCACGATAAGGTTGTGAAGTTCTTGTTCAAGGCCAACGTGGATGCAGACCTTTGTGACAATCAGGGACGCACCGCCCTGCATCTTGCATTAGATTCAGGATTCTGGACCCTATGCGAGGACCATGTGATGACTTTGATTGATAGAACTTCCAAAATCAATCAGAGAGATTTCGAAGGGAAGACACCATTGCATATGGCAGCTTACTCTGGCAATACAAAGTTTCTGAAGCGACTCCTAGACAAAGGAGCAGACAAGTCTATAAAGGATTTAGATGGTTGTAAAGCCATTGATTTGGTGCCTGAAGAAGGGGATGGCGATTTGAAGGGTCTTTTGTCTACATCTGAGTTACCGACGCGTCAAATTGTATATATCAGACCTGGTGTCTCTCCAGAAGACTAAGTTATTTTGTACCGAGTGGTTGAAGCGGTCGCTAATCATGCCCAAAACATTGGATTGGATTCACAACATGTCATAATGGGCAATCTTTTTCAATTTATCAGACAGACAGAAATTTATTCAATATTTAGGCCATATGACCTATAGTACAGAAGTGTTTTGTTTTTTTGTATCAACATTGTACAGTCACGTGTAGGTAATAATAAGTTTACATAAAATATTAACGTCTAATTTCAAAAATCTTCTTCAGAAATTTTGACAAAGATTATATTGTATTATCACTGCGGGAGTTCAACAAATTTTTCATCAGTTGTTCATCTTTATACATAGTTGAAATCATAGGGAGGTATCTATTTCTAAGAAACTGATAATATTTACAAATGAGAAGTACATGAAACTCATCCTCAACATAGCCTTCATTACAATAACGGCATAAGCTACTTTCTTTATCTTGTACATTTTTCTTTCTGAGATTATTAACGGGTAGCCTTGTGGTTAAAGCGTTCGCTCGTCACGCTCGTCACGCTCGTCAAGACCCGAGTTCGCTTCCCGACATGGGTACAATGTGTGAAGCCCATTTCTGGTGTCCCCCGCCGTGATATTGCTGGAATATTGCTAAGAGCGGCGTAAAACCATACTCACTCACTCACTCAGTACAACGGTTAGACAAAGTGTAACGCGAAATGTGGAGGTCTTATGCAGCGTACCTTGTGAATTTTGACAGCAACACATGTGTTTATCAGGTTTATATGCAACTGGGGAAAAGAATTGTAAAAGAAATAGGCACTGACAAATTATGTCATTGACTAGATATTATAATTCAATGTTCATTATGAAAGAAATGGAAATCACTGAAATATTTAATATGTTTTCATATTTAATGGGGGAGGTGGTGTATGTTGTATAAAAAAAGATTTTGTAGATCAATGGTGGCTGTTTTTGCAAATTAGTACAATTATTATATTCCAATATGATAAATAAAAGATATATGTTATTGTGGCCTTTTTTAATTTTTTCAGACACAGAAGACACTTTATTCTTCCCCGCCCTGAAGACGGGGAAGTATACGGGAAACGTTAATTTTGTAGCATGTATGTCGACATGTTGATTTATTTGAAATTTCAAGCCACGCATTTACGGAAACAAAACATACAAATCATGTGCGTGGAATGTTGATGCTTCTCTTTTCCAGCAATAAGAGATACTTCAAAATCGTCTTTATGTAGTTAATTGATGCATCTGACCGTTTCTGGTCATTAGCTGACATTATTAAACCATTCATGTGTAATTCGATGTCCTTTTGTCCTCAAGGACTAATTTTCTGATTTTCACGGTGTATACAAAAGAAGAACTGTACTCCAGAGATCGTAAATAACAGCATAACATAAAATATGTTCTGAATATGCTTATTCATGAACAACGACGATACTCAATTTAAATGTAATATGGCTGAATTCAAAATTCGACATACCACACTTTTGATTGTTTGGATGCTCATGTTCACTGGAAATATTTGGAATAGTTATATTCCGTATTTTGAATTAACCCAGTCCCCCGTGTTTTTTTAATCAGTGCACCGCACACAGCCATATGTGAAACGTTTGGTAGCAAAGTCAATGCAAAATCGGAGTAGTGTGTCGGCGAATTTGCATCAAGGCTGTAGTATTTTTCAACCGTTTAATGGAATTCAGTGTACAGCCGTAGCTCTGGTCACTCATATATTTTGTGTCCCATGGCTCAAATCTATTTGCGTCTGTACCGTGTTCCACTGACCTCAATAATCTGTTAGATGAAGGCACAGCTCTCTACAGTCACATAATTAACACCGAAGGCTATGGGGGGTATTTAGGTCATAATCAGCTCCCAGCAGCCACTGCCTCAAGCGATATTGTCTACATAACAGATCAGGTTTATGGCTCCGTCACAGGTGCTCCAAATATTGAAGCAGGGAAAAAAAATTCATAGAATCATTTCAACAATCAATATTGATATCCCCGTCACTTTTGGTAACTTTTAATGATGTCTCCATTTTTACGGATTTTGATTCGTATGCATTATTTGACTCTCATCAGCGGAATGGTTTGGGTCAGATTGATCCGAATGGACAAGCGGTTTTACTTCTGTTTAGTAGTATGGATGAATTGTTATGTTACATCTTAACAGTATACCAGACGACTATGCTTGTGGTAAAAGTCGACAAACGGGATCGGGTGGTCAGGCTTTGGTTGATGCATGGCATCGATCCCAATTGCGTGGATCGATGCTCATGATATTAAGCACTGGATTGTCTGGTCCACACTCGATTATTTACAGAACGCCGTCATATAGCTGGAATATTGATGAGTGCGGCGTTAAACGACAAACCAATCAATCATCATCATATGAACTCAAACCAGTCATTGTTACAAGTAAACCACATTCCACAACAGTTACTGACACTGGATAAAAAAACAGTACATAGAAAAAAAACAAGTAACTCAACTCATCATGATCACAACTACTATTCTTTGAAAGAAGAAATACAAAAAAGAAACTGACCAAAAAACGTAAAACAAGAGACTAGGAATCTCCGTCATTGATTAGTCCCAGTATTGAAATGTTCTCCAACTACGTGATATTTTGAGTATGTGCATCTGTGGTTGTGACAAAAAGACCTTATCTAGTATGACTTTTTTGCCATATGGAGCCCTTAGTATTTTCATTTACATTATCATAACCAAATGCCAAGTGTAAAAAGAATGTGATCTATTATTTGAGTATGTGCATCTGCCAATGTTGTTTTCAGTTTTGATACTTTTTCCTCATGTTTACATTTGTGCCAGAAATTGCTTCCATTTCCTTCGATCTACTTTTTTAAATAAAGACCCAGGTTAGAATAGGTCTTCAGCAACCAATGCTTGCCGTAAGAGGCGGCGAACAGGATTGGGTAGTCAGGCTCGCCGATTTGGTCGATGCATAACATCATATTCCAATTGCATAGTTCGATGCTCTTGGTGTCAATCACTGGATGATCTGGTCCAGACTGGATTATTTACAGACCGCCGTCATATGGCTGAAATACTGCTGAGTGCGGCGTTAAACAAGAAACTATTTTTAAATAGACCTACCCTATGCAAATGTATCAACTGTATTGCCCAATACTCAAAATAAATAATATTTTTTCCACAACAGCGTTGTGTTATTTGTGGTTAATATAATTATGCTCCTTCATGCCTTTCAGTAACATCATAATTATGCGTTTGTGAGGCATCACATATGGCGGGGAACTTTGATGCTGTGCATCAATGTTTTCTTATTATTATATAGTTTAATTACATATTCAAGGGTTCTCATACCAACAACAATTTTTCATCTTATAAATTAGAACAATATATTCATACAAATGTCTAATCTCTATAATGATGATTATATCAACATTGCAGTGTCTACATCCAGTTTGCTTTGACAAATGATTGTAAAACAGATAGAGCTCATTCTTTATTTCATTAGGCCTTAAAAAATTTCCTTTTCCTAAACTGATGTTTAAAATTCCCACAAAAACAAAATTATTGATGTTCTTTTCTCTCTTTACACGAACAGATATCTGCAATGCACAATGACTGTTATTATTTTATTTGACATCTTGGCATACTTGTGCATGTATCTTAGTATTAGAAAACACATGCATGACTTTTTAGCGGTCATTATCAGTTACTGAACTGCATGTTATGTGACTGTAGATAGTGAGTGAGTGAGTTGGGTTTAACGCCGCTTTTAACATAAAAAGGACTCATAAGACAGAAGAAAGGTTTACTTTTGTGGAAACATTTTTTATTACTCACATAAGTTACGTTGATCTTCGTCAGATCAAATTAGATCCAAATTAAAATGAGATTAAATTCGTGAGTCTCATTTTTTATGCAATATGTATATTGATTCAAAAATTAAGTCAATATATCCATTGCCTGAGTGATTGCCTGATTATAGACACTGACTGTAACATATATAAGTATTATCTGTTATATGCAAAAACAAATACCGTATTCGACGTTATAAGCGCCCCACTCTAATAAGCGCCCACGGCGATATTTGCTACTATATTGGCTAGTGAACAATCCCAATTAGCACCCCTCTCTATTTATCAATGTACACAAGACATTTATTCGCATATAATACGCACTCATGTGTTATATGCACCCTTAATTATGGGGAATAAATTCTGGAAAAAAATATATCTGTCGTATATAAACATTTCAGGCTGTCAGCATAAACCACGAAATGTATCTTTCAACTGTATTTTTTCACCAAAATAATATTCTAATAAGAGCCCCTATTTCTAATTTTGGGAGCGCCCTGGGCGCTTATTACGTCGAATACGGTAATATAGATAAGTGCATTTATCTACATGAAGTGATTTTGTTGTTTCATTTTGCATTTTTGTCATCATCAGAATATTTGATCATAAACTTTCTAAATCAGAGAGGGGGCACGGGTGGCCAAGTCGTCTAAGGCGCCGCGATTCGCTGTGCAGAGTTGCGTCCCTTTGGCACGCCAGCAACCTATGATTGTGGGTTCGAATCCCGGTTCGCCCCTATTATGTTTCTATGTTTGTCAGCACCATACCCGTGCTCGTGGGTTTCACCGAAGTGGTAAACGTCTGAGACCTGCATCACTTCGGGCTTTTCTCCCACATTAAGCTGACACGCCGTGATATAACTGGAATACTGTTAAAAGCGGCGACACAACTCACTCATTTTTATGTCAAAATTAAAGTTATTAATTTTTTATTCTGACATTATTTTTTAGAAAGTAAATCTGCATAAAAGTAACATTCAAAATCAGGTTTTTATCCTGACCGTTATTTCTGCTTCAATTATTTGTAAAGGCACGGGCGTATACTCACTCTAGATCACTGGTAAAGGCCTGTCAAAGATGTCTGTGTGCTGCAAATGTAGGCGTATCTAAATTTTATTACATTGAAGTCAACTATTTGTCAACATTCGAATGCTTGGAATTGTCGTGGGAAATAACACAAAGGGTGATAAATTACACAGTTTGCATTATTTCATCGATACAATGTGTTAGCCCAGACTGACAGAATGCCTCGCTGTTTTCTGACGTTGAAAATCCCGTGGCAATATATCGTTTGTCTCGGCGATTTCCACGCTATCTTCTTTCGTGTCTTTTAGTTAAAGACTCAACAAATGTCGATATTCTAAACTGATAATAACTACGAAATATGTGTTCGTTATGAATATTCAGTTACCTGGCTTTACACATTGTACCCGGGAACACCAGAACTTGGCTTAACACATTGTACCCTGGAACATCAGAACTTGGCTTCACACATTGTACCCTTTGAACACCAGAACTTGGCTTTACACATTGTACCAGGGAACACCAGAACTTGGCTTTGCACATTGTACCCTTTGAACACCACAACTTGGCTTTGCACATTGTACCCTGGAACACCTGAACTTGGCTTCACACACTGTACCCGTGAACACCAGAACTTGGCTTCACACATTGTACATGGGAACACCTGAACTTGGCTTCACACATTGTACCCGAGAACACCAGAACCTGGCTTTACACACTGTACCCGGTAACACCAGAACTTGGCTTTACACATTGTACCCGGGAACAACAGAACTTGGCTTTACACAATGTTCCCGGGAACCCAAGAACTTGGCTTTGCACACTGTACCCGGGAACACAAGAACTTGGCTTCACACATTGATTGTACACGGGAACACAAGAACCTAACACAGTGGTGTTTGTCAATGACGGTGAGTTGTTAGTAGAATTCAAAGCGGACGTAAAATATAGAGCCTATCCTCTGAACAAATCTTCTATACTGCGGAAGGAAGGCAGCGTTGTACCTGGGAACATCAGAACTTGGCTTCACATATTGTACCTGTGAACACGGGAACTTGGCTTCACACACTGTACCTGTGAACACGGGAACTTGGCTTCACACATTGTACCCGGGAACACGT